TGTTTTTCGCGAATAGCACTTCCGTTGTGTTGCAATTTCGGTTGATATATTACTCGTTTCTAATGTTTTTTCTTTTATTAACGGTTAATTTTATTTTCTTTAACTATTTTATGAAAACATGTTGATTCATTCTTGTTTTTCAGTTTGGGATATGAATCATATGATGACGTCACGTTCTTGCCGACTGAATTATCTCAGAGGCTATATATGTATCACTCCGCTTTTATGAATTCTCTTAGAAACCGTATAAAAGAATCACGCAAAACATATAAAGATAAGTAAAACTTAATGGATATGGCTTTGCCGTACTTATGGTTATGGACACTACTAGCTTTCGTGTTGATGTGGACGTTGTTCCACGTAGCCAAACTGAGTAAGAAAAAATCAAAGTTGGCGGATGCGGCGGTGGAGGACAGAAGAGACAGTGGTGCTGACGTTATCATTGTCGGAGCTGGTGTTGGTGGCTCGGCTCTCGCATATGCTCTTGCTAAGGTTCGGAATTTTTCCAAGCATAAAATCTCAATATAAAGTTTGTAAATCTATTTTGGATAAAAAGTACACAATAAATGTAAAATATGATTACACAAACCAAACCCGAAACATCAATCTCGACCTAACTTGATATATACTCTTTTTTCGTTTTCATAAATTTGGCATGCATGACAGATTAAAAAACCATATATGTACTAATAAATAACAGGACGGGAGGACAGTACACGTGATAGAGAGGGACATGAGAGAACCAGAAAGAATCATGGGTGAGATTATGCAACCTGGAGGTCGCTTCATGCTAGCTAAGCTTGGCCTTGAAGGTTTTGTCTCCACTTCATAAATTAATCAAAATGACGTCGTGTTAACGCTTTGGCTTAGTTTCATTGTTAAGCAATTAACATGTAAAATATATATTAGATTGTTTGGAAGGGATAGATGAACAAAAAGCCACCGGTTTGGTGATTTATAAGGACGGAAAAAGCGATCTTGCCTTTTCCGGCGGAGAATAACAACTTTCCTTATAAACCTTCGGCTCGATCTTTTCACAATGGTCGATTTGTCCAACGACTACGCCAAAAGGCTTCTTCTCTCTCCAAGTATGTATCTCTCTATCCACCATTTTCTGCAAAAACATTATTAAAACGGCTTTTTATAACCGGATCAATCTTAAACCGAAATTCAAACTAATTATTTTTTTAACCGAAATTCAAACTAATTATGAATTCTGTAAATTTACTTTTAATGTTCAGTTATGTGAAGAGGAGTTGGTTGAGTTTTTCCTGTACCAGTCGATTGTACTACAAGGAAGTGCTACAGAAGTGGAGCCGTGTGATTTGTGAAGAGGAGTTCGAATTTGGAGATGCACAAGCGTGGATTGGGTTAGAAAAAGGAAAGAGATATTTACTTGGAYGAAAGGAGAAATATATTTAGAGAATATATTTGAAGAGAAAAATAAGGAAAGGATAACTACAAAGAAGGAAAGTTTCTTTAGGGTTTTGAGATGTGCTCTATAGGTATATATAGAGGGAGGCTCGTGCCTGGAGTTCTTTGACGCTCTTACAAGAAAAATTACAGAGAGATTGATTGAGAGAAGGCGTCCTCTTTGTTGTGTGTGGTTGCTGCTACTGTAGCAGTTGGTGCTGCTGGTGCTGTACCAGTTCGTGCTGCTTGAGCTGATCAAGTGAGTTTGGGAGAAGGTTTCTCGTGGCTGTGTGCCGTTGGCTGTGTGCCGTTGGCTGTGTGCCATTGCCAACCGTGCGTGTTGGTGTGTGGAGGTTCCACAAAACTCAAGTCTAGGCTCAGGGGGAGTTTAGCTCAGGATTAGGTTATCCTGAAGAATCCATGTTATTGAACAGAGCGGTGAATTAAGAAGTTGTACTTGATTTACGCGTTTGCGAATAAGTTGTATTTGCTTTCTG